AACATTATAATGAAAGACTTTCACTGAGCCCACAGGTGAACATTGGACCCCTGAGATTTAACTTGGCGTAGACCCCGGGGCCGGCTCAGGACACGCTGGCGGGACTACGTCGCTATGCTAGCCTGGAAATTCCCCAGGAACATCGAGAGTCTGTGTATCTATATATATAACATCGCGAATCTGTCTGTCTATCTGTGTGTGTGTGTGTGTCGCCGGACCATACGCACTTTCATTGGACGCCGGTTGCCCCTGGCAACGGCTAGCGACGCCTTCGCCGCTTTCATTGGACGGCGGTTGCCCCTGGCAACGGCTAGCGACGCCTTCGCCGCGGGCTGCAGTTTCATTGGACGGCGGTTGCCCCTGGCAACGGGTAGCCACGCCTTCGCCGCTTTCATTGGACGGCGGTTGCCCCTGCCAATGGGTAGCGACGCCTTCGCCAAGGGCTGGACGCCATTTTTTATTCCCGTTAAAAATAGGCGCACGCATTAACACGCGACTCTGACGTTCATTCATCACAGTTTCACCTCCTCTTCACTCCCCTCCCACCACAATGTGTTCAATGACTATTTTAGGCTCCGTAGATAATTAAATAATAGCGATTACACAGTATTATTGTAGCGCGGGGGGAGGGGGGGGAACGCCACCCGTACCCTGCCTCTGCCGGGTGGCCAATTTTGGAGAGGCCGGACGCTCTGCACGCTACTAGGCCTCGACACCCACCACGCGACTCTGAGGTAAATTCATCAAAGTTTCACCTACTCTTCACTACACCCCCACCACAATGTGTGCAATTAATATTACTTTTAAACCCAACGCGCCAACAATCGATTCTTTAAATGTTGACTGTACAAATAGTCATTAAGCTGGGTGAGCGTACTGCCAGTCTATAATGTAGACTGTAGCCTGCTTATTAAATTGGGTGACTGTACTGCCAGTCCATAATGTTCACTTTAGCCTGCTTATTAAGCTCGGTGAGCATACTGCCACTCTATCATGTAGACTCTAGCCTGCTTATGAAGCTGAGTGGGTGTACTGGCAGTCTATAATGTAGACTGTAGCCTGGTTATTATAATCGATTCTTTCAATGTTCTTTGTACAAATAGTCATTAAGCTGCTTGAGCGTACTGGCCGTCTATAATGTACACTGTAGCCTGCTTATTCAGCTGCGTGGGTGTACTGCCAGTCTATCATGTAGACTGTAGCCTGGTTATTAAGTAAAGTTAGTCCATTTGTAACACGTACGCTTTCGCAAACATTTTTCATAAACAACGTTATTGGGTTTAGATCGCCTTATTTATTAATGTGTTCTAACCCTTCTCCACCACCCGACACGCCCAATCTGCAAAAATTTGTCACGTTCATAAAAGACTAACACTTGACTGCTTTAGCCCACCCGTGTGTTCAAGCGTAAAACCACAACAATTACCATTTCTCATGAAAAAACAACTGTATAATTATGTTTAAACCCCACGCGCCAAGAATGGATTCTTTCAATGTTCACTCTACAAAGTCATTAAGCTGGCTGAGCGTACTGGCAGTCTATAATGTAGACTGTAGCCTGCTTATTAAGTAAAGTTTGTCAATTTGTAACACGTGGCCTTTCGCGACCATTAATCATAAACAACGTTATTGGCTTTAGATCGCCTTATTTATTAATGTGCGCTGAGGGAGGGAGAGCGCTGAGGGAGGGAGAGCGGTGACGGAGGGAGAGCGGTGAGGGAGGGAGAGCGGTGAGGGAGGGAGAGCGGTGAGGGAGGGAGAGCGGTGAGGGGGGGAGAGCGGTGAGGGGGGGAGAGCGGTGAGGGGGGGAGAGCGGTGAGGGAGGGAGAGCGGTGAGGGAGGGAAAGCTGTGAGGGAGGGAGAGCGGTGAGGAGCGGGGAGAGCGGTGAGGGGGGGAGAGCGGTGAGGGGGGGAGAGCGGTGAGGGGGGGAGAGCGTTGAGGGAGGGAGAGCGGTGAGGGAGGGAGAGCGGTGAGGGGGGGAGAGCGGTGAGGGGGGGAGAGCGGTGAGGGGGGGAGAGCGGTGAGGGAGGGAGAGCGGTGAGGGAGGGAGAGCGGTGAGGGGGGAGGGGAGGGGGGGAGAGCGGTGAGGGGGGGAGAGCGGTGAGGGGGGGAGAGCGGTGAGGGGGGGAGAGCGGTGAGGGGGGGAGAGCGGTGAGGGGGGGAGAGCGGTGAGGGAGGGAGAGCGGTGAGGGAGGGAGAGCGGTGAAGGAGGGACTCAAAACGAGTAACTGCTGTGGCGTATGAACATCGCCACTGGTGAGACAAAGGCGGCCTAGCGTCGTGGATCCAAGACCCGGGCGAAGCCGGGTAGTTAAGCTAGTAGTAGTATATAGTTTATAGTAGTGGAGTGTAGTAGTGTATATTAGTGTAGTGTATAGTAGTGTATAATGTGTATAGTGTCGTATATAGTATAGTGTTAAGTAGTAGTGTACAGTAGTGTTATTTATAGTGTTGTAGTGTATAGTATTGTATGTGTATAGTGTATATAGTCTATAGTGTAGTGTATAGTATAGTGTACAGTAGTGTAGTTTATAGTGTAGTGGTGTATACATTTTGACAAAGCTTTCGTGACTGCAGGAATTCATATTATTTGTCTTTCAGTAAAGCCACGTAGATACAAAAAAAAATATCACGTTTCGATCAGTTGTGTTGCGATCGAAACGTCGTGATATTGTTATTTTTCTATCTACGTGGCTTTACCGACAGACCCAAAGAAAATAGTAGTGCATAGTAGTGTCGTGTACTGTACAGTGTAGTAGTGTATAGTAGTGTAGTAGAGGTCGGAGTATGTCGCCAGGGAAAGGGAGGTCTGGACCGCCCTACTCAACATGTTGCCGCCGCGACCCTCGCCAGGACAAGCGGACTGAGAAACGAACGAAACGAAAGATTTAACACAGAAATCCATAAATTAACAATGAATTGAAAAACCTACCGGTTTTTACCCTTTTGGGTCTCATCGGCAGTTAGGCTTGGGAGACAATATTTACCACATTCTCTGGGAAGATAGATCCCAAACTTGTGCCCGGTGTCATTAAAGTTGGACACATTCGGTCAGTCGCAACAAAATAATCCATAACATTGTGCTTAAAATATTTACGATTCCAACTTGGCTTACTCGGGCAGGAAAGCCTGACCAGCCTCAACTCTTTCTTTTAAGGGTCCTACATTTTTGGTGGCGGTGGAGGGGGGGAGGGGCAATGCTGACGCTGTTGTTTGTCATTCCATTTGCAGGTCATGTTCAGCATTTGTGATGTTTGACCAAACCCAGTTCGACATCGTGCGAGCACGCGCGCGTGGCTTTCGCCATGGGAGGACACGACGAAGAACGAGAGGGGCGGAAGCAGAGAACAAAGTTTGCACAGAATGGGAACCTGCCAGTTGGGAGTCGACAGCTGCGCCGAAATAATGCACACAACCGATGGGAACAAGTCTGGACAGGCAGCACCAGGGCCCCCTCTCGCATTCGCGAGCCACGGCGAATAGCCGAGATTACTGGCCTCTCGAGGCCTCTCGGGGTGATGAGCGTGGGGGCGTGGCTGTGACGGAGGCGGCTTCCACTCGTCCACACTTGCGCACTTTGAACAACTTCACGCTCTGCCACTGTTTTTCCGACTGCCGATTTCCGCAGGCAAGCTCCACCTCGTCTCACAAAAACACACGCGGCCGGCCATTCTCAGCTCCCCGCATCAGAGAAAAACAAAAAAATCATCACCCCAGCAGAATGTGTCATTGAGGAGTACCGCATCGTGCTGTCGGAGGTAGGGTGGCTGCAGTTGCAACACTCGCAGGCAAGATGGTCTTAGGACTCCACGTATGTTCACCCCCTGTTCTGCATGGGTTTCCTCCAATTGCTATACAAAGACAAGGATTACAGCCTGTTGGGGCAGGTGCTGTCCACGAGCAGCACCAATGAAGGCCAGCACCCCAGGTACTTATTTGAGGCAGAGTCGAGGGGAGGCCCAGGACCGGTTCAGACAATCGTCACTGGTATTGGCCGTGAGCGGGAATCGAACTCGGGTCGCCGGGTTGGTAGTGCAACGCGCTAACAGCCACAAGGCCAGTTGCCCACACACAATGTTACTGGCATTGGTCAAAACATCCCAGTGCTGAAAATATAACTTCAAATGTATCAATTGGGATCACACGCAGCAGCGGCAGCATCGCCTCCCTACTGCAAACACAACCTTGACAGCACCCTTTAAAAAAAAGTTGGGGCTCCGTAAAAAGCTTTTCAGGGAAAATAACAATTGCACACAATATGGTAGTATCTGTGCACACAAATACACCCACGCATACAAAGATCCCCCGTACTGCCTTAAGACTGTTGGGGCAAGTGCTGTTAGTAAGCACTTATGAAGTCCAAAACGTCACACGTGGGTTTGGGTGGCCAGCACCACACATGGCTGCCTTTGTCTCTGAAGTGGCGGCGTTCACGACACACCGCACCAAGTACGAATTTGAGGCAGTCGACCTACGGTAGGCCCAGGATCAATTCAGATAATCGTCACCTGGGGTTGGCCGTGAGCGTGAATTGAACTGGAGTCGTGGTAGTCCGTATCGGAGCGTGCTAACCGCTGCAACTACAGCTCCCAATCATATGTAATGCGAGCAAGGATTGAGGGGGGGCGGAGTCTGGGTCACGTGGGGGAGAAGATTTAGGGAGAGAACCGGAAGGGGAACGGGGAGTTGAGACGGGGAGAGTGGCGCGGTCGCCACGCGGTGGGAGACGTCGGCACCATCAGCCATCGGTGTCAGGATGCAGAGGGCTAGCGAGCAGTGGAAGGCTAGCTGCAGAGCAGCAGTGAAGCTGCAGACGGAGCAGCGGTGTGGCTGCAGGGCGGAGCAGCAGTGAGAGGCTGCAGAACGAGCAGCAGAGTGGCTGTGGAGTGATCGTCGGGAGAGACGCGGGCCTGAGCGAGGACGCCGTGTGAACGAGATTCTACGAACCCAAATAAAGGACAACGGACATCGACATTGAGAAAGAGTCCTTTATTACCACATACATAAATCATGACAAGATCCCCACACACTCCACATCCTCACACAAACCAAATAAAATTTGGTGAAATTATGCAAAAGTTTAATTGATTTTTCTCTTCTTCCAAAAGTCACTTTCGGGGGGGGGGGGGAGAAATCACGAGGCCCCCCACAGTCAAGCCCATGCCGAGCTGCGACAGAGTACCGGGGCAACGAGCGCTTGTGAGCAAGCAGACTATTGAGTTTACAGAGCGAGTGAGGCAAGTTGAGCGAGCCTGGGTGGGTGAATGTGCGAGGCGTGTGCGCGTATATTGAACTGGGGGGGGGGGGGGGGGGGGTGTACCCTACTATTATGACAACTTGGCAGGGCCCTCTGGAAAAGGAGTCTTGAGACACAGCAAGGTCTTTCCTGGGAAAACAAGTGTCTTCATGCTAATCATGAGTGTGGCAGAGAATATGCGTGTCTATGTATATATGTGGGGCATAAAAAAACAATTGGGTTATCATCTGGACGACAGATCTTATAGTGGCTTACTGCATGGTACGGTATGTGGGTGTATGCACCGTATGTAGCCAACCGTGATAATCAGAGGTTGCTAGGGAAGGACAACAAACTAAAGACAAAAAGTGGTTCTAAAAAAATGAGATTACAATCTAGGTGATGATTTGAAAGTGCATAGCTCCAGTGGCTTCCTAATACCGGAAAGAAGAGTGTTCCAGATGGCCGTTGAAGCACTTTTGAAAGCACACGATGCGGTGGCCATCTTTGTTCCATGGTTAGCCAAAAGCCCCTGTGAGGGTAACCGGAGTTTGCGCGATAGTTTATACTCCTTGACGAGGTCGGCAAGCTATTGTGGTTCATCTGTGGCAAGCACTTTTTGTGCAATGAGTGCGACCTTATAATGTATTCTTTCGGCAACCGGAGGCCACTGCAGGTGTGTAGATTTCAAACTCATTTCTGCGGTGGCGCGTTTAACTACACATTTTTACGCGATCTAACCCTAGAAAAGCTATATTATGGATATTGGTCTCGAAAGCCAACATGTTAAACTCATTTCTTTAAAATAGCTTTTTGTGTTTAGATTTTTGTCCTCCCACGCATCTCGAATTAAGAGTGGTTGGCTACTTACAGTGCGAAAGATGTTAAACACACATACGTGTGCGTACGTATGCCAGCCATGCGTACGTATGCCAGCCGTGTGTAAGTATGCCAGCCGTTGCGTACGTATGCCAGCCGCGAGTGCTGGCAGCCATGTGGGTTGCGTTGAGCGCTGGCCTCTCAGGCGGCCTCCTCCTCGCCCTCCTCCTCGAACTCTCCCTCCTCCTCAGCCGTGGCGTCCTGGTATTGCTGGTACTCTGAGACGAGGTCGTTCATGTTGCTCTCCGCCTCGGTGAACTCCATCTCGTCCATGCCCTCGCCCGTGTACCAGTGCAGGAAGGCCTTGCGGCGGAACATGGCCGTGAACTGCTCGGAGATTCGCTTGAACAGCTCCTGCACACGCAAAGGGGTGTGGGGGGGAGAGACGCGGGGAGACACAGGGAGAGACATGAAGATACAATCAGACACGGGGACTTTGCGGGACACGAAGAGTAAACGCAGTGAGGCATGGTGATCATCATTATCATCCCGATCCATGGGCAGATAGCCCATAGTAGGTGTGTCCACTGCACATTTTGTTATTTATTTCCACTTTCCTCTGTCTTGTAGTGCCAAAAAACTTCAGTAGTGCCACATCTTTCTGCAACCGATCTCTTAATGTCGTCGTCAAGCCATTCTGAGTCTGTTAGGTCTTCTCCTCTATCCGGTTCCTTCCATGTTCCCGAACAACAAGACACTTGTAATTCTTCTGTTGTTGTCCATCCTACATCTGTGTGTCCCAATAGTCAGTTTCCTTCTCATGACTGCCTGCATCATCATCAGGTCGTTGTCTTCTTCTTCTACGTGCAACCTTCTTATTGTACGTTGGGCACTCTTTGGGTCCAGTTTAGACGCAGCAGCATCCTCCTGTGGCAGCGACACATTTCAAGTGGCGAAACATCTCAGCAAAGCCTCACCGAGTCTCAAGAGGGGGGGGGGGGGGGGGGGGAGGCCCTGCCAAGTTGTTTCAGTGGGAGGTGATGTAGCTATTGAGTAATTTGGAGGTAATACTCCAGCACTGGGATGTTTGGCCGATAAGTTACATTTCATTGTTTTGTTTCAATTCAGGAAGAAACCAAGAGGAAACGCTTGCAGAACGTGGGGAGAATGTAACAACTCCATGCAGAATGTCGCCCGATACAGGAATCAAACCCAACAGTGACAGCACTGTACCACCCCCTCCCCTCATCTCCCCCCTCCCCCTCCCCTCATCTCCCTTTCCCCTCCCCTCATCTCCCTTCCTCCTCCCCTCATCTCCCTTCCCCCTCCCCTCACCTCCCTTCCCCCTCCCCTCATCTCCCTTCCCCCTCCCCTCCCTTCCCCCTTCCCCCTTCCCGCCCTCTCACCTGGATGGCCGTGCTGTTGCCAATGAAGGTGGCTGACATCTTGAGGCCCCGGGGTGGGATGTCGCACACGGCCGTCTTCACATTGTTGGGGATCCACTCGACGAAGTAGCTGCTGTTCTTGTTCTGCACGTTCAGCATCTGCTCGTCCACCTCCTTCATGGACATGCGGCCGCGGAAGATGGCGGCCACCGTCAGGTAGCGGCCGTGCCGCGGGTCGCACGCCGCCATCATGTTCTTGGCGTCGAACATCTGCTGGGTGAGCTCGGGCACGGTGAGCGCGCGGTACTGCTGCGAGCCGCGGCTGGTGAGCGGCGCGAAGCCCGGCATGAAGAAGTGCAGGCGCGGGAAGGGCACCATGTTGACGGCGAGCTTGCGCAGGTCGGCGTTGAGCTGGCCCGGGAAGCGCAGGCAGGTGGTGACGCCGCTCATGGTGGCCGACACCAGGTGGTTGAGGTCGCCGTACGTGGGTGTCGTGAGCTTGAGGGTGCGGAAGCAGATGTCGTAGAGCGCCTCGTTGTCGATGCAGTACGTCTCGTCTGTGTTCTCCACCAGCTGGTGCACCGACAACGTCGCGTTGTACGGTTCCACCACCGTGTCAGACACCTGCGGGGAGGGAATGGAGTGGGAGATTGAGGGGATGAGAGAGTGGCTTGGTGAGGGTCCGGGTGAGCGAGTAGTTGGGTGGACAAGTCTGAGGATGCAGGAGCTCACGGCCAGGGAGTCATAGGCAGTGCTCGTGTGTAAAGTCGAGCATCAGGGCCACTTCTGTAGTCTCCTTATCCTCAATCTACTCCGCTGGTGCCCCTCACCTTGAGAGCACCACGCTCAACGTGTTCATCATGCGGCTGGGGTGATTACCAGTGTTGTCATCATGGCGGAGCCCGCGGCCCTCTGGAACCCGCTCTCCTGGTGCCCCTCACCTTGGAGAACACCACACTGAAGGTGTTCATGATGCGGTTGGGGTTATAGTATCAGTACTATAGGACGATAGTACTGATACTTGTACTATAGTCTTACCTTGGGGGAGGGCACCACACTGAAGGTGTTCATGATGCGGTCGGGGTACTCCTCACGGATCTTGCTGATGAGCAGGGTGCCCATGCCCGAGCCGGTGCCGCCGCCCAGCGAGTGCGTCAGCTGGAAGCCCTGCAGGCAGTCGCAGCTCTCCGCCTCTTTGCGCACCACGTCCAGCACTGAGTCCACCAACTCCGCTCCCTCCGTGTAGTGGCCCTTGGCCCAGTTGTTGCCCGCACCCGTGTGCCCTGGGATGCACGGGGACAGGGGAGGAGGGGGAGGCAGTAGTTCAGGTGAGGGGAGCATAGTGTGTTTATCTATATATATAAAAGGCAGAGTTGTGATTATGCGTGTCTGTTCAAAATGTTTAGCGTACTTCCCGACATACAACAAACTTGAAATTTGCCATGTGGGTACTTTCCAGACTGTACACCATGCAAAAATTATTAAAATACACTTGTGGTTTTTTTGGGGGGGGGGGGGGGGGAGCTCAATAATGCATATATATTTTGCACGACAAGTGAGCTGTGACGTCAAATCTGTCACGTGATCCGCGCATGTGGAAGCGTAACGCATTGTAGTGTAGTGGTTATCGTGCCGCGCTACGAACCCGGCGACCCGAGTTCGATTACTTTAACCGCTCCTGGGCCTCCCCTAGGTCTACTCAGCCTCAAACGAGTAACTGCTGTGGTGTGTGAGCATCGCTACTGGGGAGACAAAGGTGGCCAGGCGTGGTGAATACAAGTCCCGGGCGAAGCCGGGTAGTAAAGATAGTATATATATTTATAACTACATTTTTTAAAATTCTGGCTGAGGGTTTCCTGCATATCGAAAATAATAGTAGAATAAATATGCCCAAACCTGCTGCAGGGCTGCATTGTGGCCGAGAGATTGTGGTTCCACGTTTAACCAACCTACACTGACTGGTACGGTGAAGTATGGTCAAACAATCCCCTTGAACAACAATGGGGAAACCTTTATCCAGCAAAGCTGTGCTTTGAACTATAAACTCTTTTTATTTTACTAGGTAAGACCCACTGAGCTAGAGAGATCTTTTTCAGAAGGGACCTGGCTATCACAAATGATAGCTCAACGAAGCGGCTTATGTGGAAATTTATAGCAGCCAAATACTCTAAACGCATGATGTTTATTCTAAATGTGGAAGGAAAACCGCAGGACCCGGAGAAAAATCCACGGAACCACGGGGAGAGAGAGAGATGCAAACTCCAAAAATACTGTACAACAGGCATCATCAGGGTCGGGATCAAACTCACGACCTCCTGTATATCAAGTAAGATAGTTAACATCTCGCCACAGTGGCAACATATAACAGACTTAGAATTTGCATGAACGGTAAAGAAGCGATTCACAAACATTTTGTCTAGAAATAAAAAAGACACAAATTTACTTTTAAAACCTCACGACGATTATTCAGGAGGGTCCTGCCAAATCTTCGCAGTAGAAGGGCGATGTTGCCACTGCGCGTGATCTTAAGAAAGTGACTTCAGGCGCTGGGTTGAGTGAGATGTGACTTAATCGGAAAGGGAAAGGGTTAAGAATCTCACCGAACACGAAGTTGTCTGGCCGGAACATCTGTCCCTGAGGTCCGGATCTCACAGCGTCCATTGTGCCGGGCTCCAGATCCACCATAATCGCACGCGGCACGTATTTCCCTCCTGTGCGGAGCCCGGAGGGGGGTGGGGGTGGTGAGGGTGGGTGGAGATGGTGCAGTAGTGACGCGATCACGGCACTGTAGGGGAGGAGATTCTACCACCTCACACCAGGGTCATTTTTTCATTGACAAAGTCAGTAATGGTAATATCTGTCAAAGTGTTCAATTGAAGTCTTGAATGATTCCTCATCTCCATGCCTATCACCGTTGCCTATCACCGTTGCCTATGACCGTTGCCTATCACCGTTTGCCATCCCCAGCGCCTCTCACCAGACGCTTCGTTGTAGTAGACGTTGATCCTCTCAAGCTGTGTGGCCGAGTCTCCCGCATAATCGCCTGTGGGGTCGATCCCATGCTCCTCACTGATCACCTCCCAGAACTGAGACGTGTGGGGGGAGACAGGCACACAGACATGGAGACAAGAAGAGATATATGGGGAGACGGGGGGAGTGCAGATGTCTGTTTGTGAGCATAAGGGTCTATGCGAGTCATTGGCGACGGGGTGCTACGGTCCCGGGATGTTAACTACCTCAACTGGTATTCAGGCAGTCGTGGGTTCGATCCCAACCCTAACGCCTGTATATTTGGAGTGTGTATGCTTCTCCCCGTGGTCGTGTGGATTTTTCTCAGGGTCCTCTGATTTCCCCCTCCACATTTAGAATCAATGTGCATTGAGGTTATTTGGCTGCTATATATTTACAAGTGATAAGCAACTTCATTAGGGCTATCATTTGTGGAACAGGTCACTTCTGAAAAAAAGATATACAACTCAGTGGGCCTTACCTAGTAAAATACAATTTATATTATCGTTTCTAATTGTTATAGTGAAGGCTATCACAAAGGAAGAAGGCACTATGTTTTAAAAACACGGTGTGTAGTACTTTCACAGTCGGTGAGATAATGCTGCCGTTTAAAATCTCAGCCAAGTAATCTGCAGTGCATTTTCTTTTTTAAACTTAATCAAATTTGGACCCTGATGCTGGCACAATGGCGTCCTCATTGCGACATCACGGGATGTTTAACGCCCATTGCGATGCATTTACTCTTTAGGTTAATACACCCGGCAGCTTTAACCAAGGCAGCCTGCCAGATGTGGACCATAAATCAAAACCAAACCAAGCTGTTTTATTTTATTTTGCCAGGTAAGGCCCACTGAGCTATATAGCCCTTTATTCAGAAGCAACCTGGCCGCAAATTATAGCACAACGAATCAAAGTGGCTTATCATCATGTGGAAATTTATAGCAGCCAAATACTCTAATCGTATGATTTCGATTCTAAACGGAGGGAAACCTGGAGGATCCGGAGAAAAACCACGTGACCCCCAGGGAGAACGTGCACACTCCATATATACAGCAGGCATCGTTAGGATCAGGATCAGACCTGCGACCTCCTTTATACCAGGCAAGGTAGTTAACATCTCTGAAACGACGAACACGCTGCTACCAGGCCACATCAATGAGCTCAGGACAGACGAACCCATGAATGAGCTCCCTTTTCGAGTCCACAGAAACAAAACGTTGTGTCTATTTAAACCGAATGTTTAGTTCCGTATAAAATCAATCACGACTCCAAAGAGTGTGAAAAATGCGTTTTTAAATATATCTACGAATTAAACACACGCATTGACAAGACGAGACAACGGCGGAGTTATTTGTGAGATGAATGGTAATGAGACGAATAATGCCATCTATTTATTCCAGGACAGCCCGTCCTAGTCTAAACTCTTTTTTCAGCAGGGTCCTGCCAAGTTTCCACAGTAGCAGTGGCGATTTTGCTACTGCTGCGTGTGTATATGTGATCCCAATAAAGTAATTTGCAGGGAATTATTCAGTAGTAGGATGTTTGGCCAATACGAGTTGCATTGCATGTGCGTGTTTGTTTAGTTGAGCAGCAACCCGGAGAACCCAGATGAAGCCCACGCAGAACGGGGTGAAGAGGGAGATACAAACTCCACAGAGAAAGGTGCGAGAGTTGGGAATCGGACTCAGGCCCCTTCTTGCTGTAAGTCGTGTCACCTGCTGCACTGCCTCTCCGTTGATGGAGTTCAGTCAAGCCGCTCTGGTCAGACAAAACCGCATCACTCAAGTGTGAGTGAGGCACCCAAACTCCGGCGCTTATAACTTACTTTAAAAACTAACAAAAATTCCATTTACCAGATAAGGCTCACTGAGGTGTAAAGCGCGTTTTCGAAAGGCAACCTGGCCGTCACAAATGATCGCTCAACGAAGTGGCTTATATGGAAATGTATAGTAGGCAAATACTCTAAACGCACGTTGATTCTAAATGTGGAAGGAAAAACTGGAGGATCCGGAGAAAAATCCACGTGACCACGGAGGAGAGACAAGCACACACCAAATATGCAGCAGGTGCCAGAGTTGTGATCGAACCCACGACCTCCTCCATGGTGGTGCCCTTGAACCCATACTCCCATAGACATCGACAAAGCCAATATCAACCTCGCCTGTCCTTTAACTTTGTAATAAGTATAGTTGTGTCACTCCACTGCTGGATAACGAAACCCACCCCTCCCCCATGTCACGTGGGGTGTTTTTTGGCCATAGCGTCCCGGTGGGTTAGTCAAGGTGGGAAACACAGAAGGGGGCAGAGTAAATGTGATTTTGCCGCACTGATCTCTGCTGCCTACAACGTGGTCCCAAAGCAGCAGCAGCAGCCTATCGCACCCGCCATGCCAGGCGCTCGCCCATCCAAGCACTATGCAGGGTTTTTACAATCCTGCTTAGCTTCCAAGATTGGGCGCATTCCTGGTGACTTTAGTCAAGGCCCATAAGTTCCCTTCTCTAGAGGAGCTCTCGAGAGCAGCAGTCCACAATGTTTTAGTGTGCACACCCCTTTTCAACCTCCGAACATTTCGGGCAACACCACATGCTACTACTACGCGTAGTCATTTGAAATTGTACATTTCCTTGGGGAGGATGATATCACTATTGCTTAATCTTTTCCACGGGCCCGCTGTAGTAGCCTCGCAGACCACCAAGGACCGCGGACCACATGTTGGAAACCAACAGCAGCAGCGGTGGTTCTCAAGCGGGGGGAGGGGGGGTACGCAGGCCCCAGGGGGTACGTGGCAATGTCCCAAGGGGGTACCGCGAGGTGATTTATAAATGTGTGAAATTACATCATACATGAGAACGTCATTGCTGAATAATCACGTACGAATCTGTCAATATAAAATCACTCCAATAACATGTAAATACATAAGGTAACCTAGAACGATATCAAAGACCTTTCTAATCTCATTGATCGTAAACAATGTGGCTTACAAGAGTAACCATCAAGCGCCAAAAATTACGTTATGCGTCCGTTTAATTTTTTTATTCGCTCGCAGTTACCAGGGTACCTCACAAAACAGACAATTGGTTAAAATACTAATGTTCATTATTCATGCATTTATTTCTCAGATCCATGTTGGGTCAGGCAAGGCGGTACTCGGTTGAAACAAAATTCAACAAGGGGGGGGGGGTACAAAAGTAGCCAAAAATGGTTGAGAATAACCACTGATCTACAAGGTAGTGCAGATGTCTAGTGACTCCAATTATAATATATTTACCCTTTCTGGCAATAAAAAGTTGTGTTAAGATGTAAAAAAACGGAAACCTTTTGCAAGGACTCATGTCTGCATTAGCTATGGTACATATACTTGTGAAACTGCCTGGTCCACACCAGAGACAGCTTTCTTGTCTCAAGCAGTTAGACCAGAGAATGGCAAAAGGAGAGCTCTTAACACCTGTTAAGATGATACTGGCAAGAAAGGTCACATTGTAACTGCTCGCCCCGAGATATAAATACCCTGATAGTGGCATTGTTCTTGTGCTGTTCGCCTTTTGGCGTTACGAAAGAGACGCTGTGTTCACTCGAGGCGCAGCTGCGGAAGAGCAAAGCACCGCCATCAGGCGACGAGTCTGCAAATGCCATGTCGCCTGTACACTACACTATACACTACACGACTATCCACTACACTAAGAGTCTGCGCATGACATGCAGAGGCACTGTGTGGGATGGGTTCGAGTTAAGAGTTTTGAAGATTCGGTTATACTTGGTGTTCTGTAATTTTTGTTCAGGGGGAGGGGGGGTGTGTCGAGTATTGAGATGGGGTTGTACTGTACTTGGTTTAGCACGGAGGCTTTCGCGACCAATATCATCACTAGTTGGCTGTGTCGGGTGGTGACGGGTTTTAACGACACATTCATATACAGTATTTAGGCGATCTAACCCAAGAAACCTCCATTATGGATGTACTTGGTTGTTGATAAATTACCCACCACAGTTGGTCCGTGTCCTTGTGCAGTGCGTAAATAGTGCATAACGAACCAAGGCATCGCTAACAAATTCCAAATCTTAAGATTATTTGTATTCTGGATCGAGTTATTGGCCCATCTTTCTGTTAAAGTACGTTTAAAAGTACGCATTGGCGCCCTATAATAGAGGGAATTGCATGGGAAAGAAAATGGAGCCGAACTCCTTTCTCCCATATTATTTAAAAAAGATAGCAACCCTCACCATACCTGTCCCTAAACTTTTTTTCCAGGCACCTCTTGCTCCCAGATGTTTGAACTTTCGTTTATTGACCTTGAAATACCCCGTTTGTTAAGATGTGCAACATTCCTTATTGATCCCTCCCTGCTCGAGTCGTCCTCTGCAATGTTGACGACTTTTGATTTGTTACTGCAGTGGTCATACAGCAGTACGGACCTCCTTTGTATAATGGATGGGGCTACTCTCTTAACCGGGGGATCACCATCCGTGTCATAAACACTGAATGTAATCACACCGAGATCCATACAATGGAGTTGTGATAACCGGGTTGGTTCTCAAATTAATTCTAGCTAGTTCATGTCCGTGGTCTGGTCACAAAAACCACGATCACGTAAAAAATTCTGGCACTGCGCTTTTAATGGACAAATTCCATAGGATAATTAAAAATATATATACACCGATTTAATGCGTGACCCAGGCGCTACGATGGAGGGGTGGGGGAGTCTGTGGTGGCGTTATGCGACGCATAGAGTCGACCACAAATGGGCACCCCCGAATCAACACGAGAAACACGTAATAAAACAATATTTACAAAATACACACACAGCGTACAACATTTGCCGCTACCGAAGGTGTTACTGAACACCACCAGGATTGTTTTGCTAACAGACATGCGCATACACACGAGAGGCAGCACAATATCTTTATTTGTGAATATTGTACATCTAAATGTTTTACTAATATTGTCACTGTGAAACCGTCTTCTTTTAAACCCAATACATGGTGCAACTACAATAATATAAGTTAAAGCCTACACATTACTGCACAGTATACGGGTTAAAAAAATACTATCCGTAACTATTTCAGTAAAAGTGAGATATGAGAGAGGGGGCAGTCGGATCTTGCATAGCCCCCCCCCCCCCCATGTTGAAATCGGCCCTTGCAGTCCCTGGCTGTCGTCGAATGGCAGGCAGGGTGCTAATGAAGGTCGCTGCAAGAGATCCGAGGTAGCTCTGCGTTGTCCGCTTCCGCGGGGGGGCATCGTGAATGGACCCCAAGGGGTTCTCGCATCACGTGTGCCACAACGCCCCTAAAGAGCCCAATGCGGACACAACTGCTGGGGTGATGTCTACACAGTTACACACGGGACAGACCCGAGTTGAAACCCAGCGAAGTTAAACCCACGTCGATTTTGTTGTAATTTATCAGCCAGCCCGACTTTCAGCGAACCAGACCACAAAGCTTAGACCCACCTCCCAGTCCGACTAGTCGAGATTTTACCCTATTACACCAACATTAAATTGGTATAATACTACTGGGAACATGTGACAAAAAAAAGAGCTTTATAGCTCATCGGATTCCCCCAGTATAAATACTTTGGTGAAACTGAATGAATGTGGCTTACCTTGGAACCGATTTGATTGCCGCATTGCCCGGCTTGAATATGCACAATTTCACGCATGATTCAGCCTCGGTGCTCGGAACGTCGACCACAAAATTAAAGTCTCAACGGTGCCCAACTCTAAGCCTGTCGCCACGCGATGTGTTGGCTCTCCCTTATATAGCCACTGGCCCCGGATCCCTACGCGGCGTGATGCGGCCCGGAGACGCCCAGGCCGAATTGCACATTCCCAGGCGAGCTCGGGGATGTGTATGTAACCCTCCGCCCGCCCCCTGCCCCCACTCCCAACAATGTTAAAAGTAATAAAATAATGAAATTATCTTACGTCATTTTTATAATAGCTGTTTTGTTAAGTTGATGTTCGCGAATACATAATTACGTGGATTATTGATATGATTTAAATGAGGTCTTAGTTTGAGAAGTTAACTTGTTTCTTTAGTTGTTTGAAGAGTCGTGTTTGTGTTAAGCGAGGGATTATTTTCTGTGTGTGTGAAGCTGCTCTCAGCTGTTCAGTGTCTGGATTGAGCCCAACAGCTGTTACAGTGTTTGGAATGCGTGTGAGTGGGTTACCCAGTCTGGGTTCAGATGACTGTTCGATTGCCGCTCATATGCAACAGCTAGTGACAAATAATCTAAAACCGGCCCTGGTCATCCCCTAGGTCGACTCAGCCTCAAATGAGCAACTGGTGTGGCGTGTAAACATCGCCACTGGGGGAGACAAAGGCGGTCGGGCGAGGTCCTGGTCACCCACCCCCTCGTGTATCGTGCCCGCCTTCATAGGTGCTCGCTAACAGCACTTGTCCTAACAGTCTGTCAAGGTTACACGGGAGAACTTTGTCTTTGTGGAGAGTGGCAGTGCAGTGGTTAGCACGCTGCACTACGAATCCGGCCACCCGAGTTCGATTCCCGTTCACGAACACAAACACCAGTGATGATTATCTGAACCGGTCCTGGGTCACCCCTAGGTCGACTCAGCCTCAAATGAGTACCTGGTGCGGTGTAAAAACATCGCCACTGGAGAGACAAAGGCGGTCGGGCGTGGTGCTGGCCATCCACTCCCTCGTGTACCGTGCCGGCCTTCATAGGTGCTCGCTAACAGCACTTGCCCCAACAGTCTGTCGAATCTATGCGGGGGATCTTTGTCCTTGTGGGCGGTGAGCGTGGTGAGCCAGAGGTGAGGCTGACGTACGTGTGGAGGAGTCGGGGTGAGTCGGGGGTCTGTGCGTCTCGTGCACAGGCGCGTCTCGCTTAGCGAGCGAGATGAGTTCCGCGAAAGTTGCTTGGCAAGTGAACGCTCGTTACGCGATCGCCGTTTTCCCATTGACTCGCGCCCCCGTGTTAAAAGCTGAGATAGAGGATTCAGCCCCAACACGTTCCACGTGAGAAATACAAATGACTGTATACAAAAAAACATTAAGTAATAAAACGCAAGGCCGTAGCTATGGAGTCAACATTGGGGGAACCAAATCTTCCATGGGGTATAGGGGTCCCCCCCCAGAAAAAAAATAAAAATTTGAAAACGAATTTCCTGCCTAAAATATCAAAAAATGCACTAACACATGGGATGGAATTTTTTTTATTTTTTTACAATAATGTCTAAGAGTGTATTGTATTACATTGCTCTGTTTTTTTTCTTTTTTACCTTTTCTTGTTTCATTGTATGTAATGACAGAGATTAGGGATTAATAAATAACCGCAATAAAAATATATAAATCTATGCATTGTTATATGAATACAAGTCCAGATATTGTGGCCAATGTTTAGCAAATTGTTGTTTTTATTTATATAGCATAGCAATTTTTTATATATTTTTATAGCAATATATTGGGGGGGACATTTTGATTATATTTGAATATTGGGGGGGGGGTATCCCCCACCCCATATATATATTATAATTACGGCCTTGATAAAAAAAAAATGTAACACCACCCGTGAAGAACCACAGTGCAAGGATCCCCCCGTAGAGCCTTGTGATATCACCTCCTTACAGCCACATATTTGAAATCACTCACTCATTCTCCACTCAAATCATACAGCCCTCTCGCGCTCTCTCCGTCTCTCGTACATTCACACACACACCTCCCCCTTCCCAAAGACAAATATCCCCCGTATAGCCTTAACAGTCTGTTGGACCAAGTGCTGTTAGCGAATACCTATGAAGGCCCGTACGGCACACGAGGGGTGGGTGGCCATCACCACGCCCGGCCACATTTGTCTCCCCAGTGGCGATGTTTACACACCGCACCAGGTACTCATTTGAGGCTGAGTCGTCCTAGGGAAGGAGGCCCAGGACCGGTTCAGGTGATCGTCACTGGTGTTGGTAGCCGTGAGCGGGAATCGAACTCTTGTCGCCGGGTTCGTAGCACCGCGGCGCTAACCTTTGCGCCACCGCTCCTCCCCAAATCCACCCCCAATGGTACCGTGCCACCATCAGGCCCCTCCACCCGCCGCCAAACCGCCCCTCCTCCTCCGCACCTCGCCCCCCCAATCAGGCGCTGAACGCAGCACGGAGCAGCTGCTCGGCAAACAGCTGCGGGCTGTGCTGCGCCCTCTGCCGCCACGGAACGCATTCACTAGACCGGTCTCCGCTCATTACGCAAACATTGTTATTGTGCTCGTTTTGTGAATACAATTGGGCTAAATGAAACATTCTTCTTGTACCGAATTCTCGTAAATAGGACGTTCGTTTATAGTGAGACACGCCTGTATTGTGTCGTGTATGTAGGTTGCGTGTGTGTACATAAGGTCGCCCTCGACTTACGAACACCCGCACTCATGAACACCCGCAACTACGAACTATATTTTTAACATTGACTTAAAACGCGAACTCGCGCTTTCAAATTGAACCGCGACACAATTTTGTTCAGCTGCGCGATCCTCCACAAGAAGTCAAGAGTCATCCTAGCGCTGGGAGTGTGTGTGTGTGTGCGCGCACGCACTCAGAATCACTCTCCCTAAAAATCAACAGATATTGGTAGTGTGCTGCTATAGACCGCCTAGTGATAAGGATTCATCTTCTTGGTTCTTTCGGTAAAGTCACGTAGAAGGGAAGTAATAAAATAATAAATAATAAAACATAATAAAATAATTATCACGACGTTTCGGCCACAACGCAAGCAGCCGTCCTCAGGTGAAGAACATGTCTGTCGATAAGACAGAGTCTGAATGACACATCCTAGGCTTGGAGCGTCTATTTAAGCTGGGAGGGAGGAGGAAGAGCGCCTTGACAAAACAATTTGCATATGAAGAGGAATTTAACATATTTATGGGAAATGCAGGAATGCGACTAGTGCTACTTGTGAAATGCGTAGGAGGTGGGCGGGGGGTTTTCAAAGTCATATTATGCCCATGCATTTCGGATTTTAACTGATTGTGTCCACGTTTACGGTGACTTTCAGACCGCGTTCCACTCACTGACATTGACTATATATCTTGTATTCTCCGCAGGGAATGGATTCTTTGCTCCGCTGCAAGCTTCATACCACCACTCTCCCATTGACATATTTCGTTGCTTCCTCTTAGTACCTTTCACGCGACGGTCAATGGTATAGTGTATAGCATATTGTATAATAATAAATAGTATTAAAGTGTAATGTTTAATACAATGTATAAGGTAATATATAGTATCGTAATTGTATAGTGAATATACAGCAGTGTGGTATACAGTTGGGTGGGTAGAATAATACATAGTGTAATATAATACATAGTGTAATATTACACTATGTATTATTCTCAGACATAGGGTAGTGTATAGTAATACAGTATACAATTTAATGTTGGGTTTGTCTATGGCAGCATATAGTACGGGATAGACCCGTGTGATGTAAGGAAAAAGTTTTAAAAAGTTTAGCTGGAAGCATATTATATTTTTTGCTACCTAGAATTGTAATGTATTACTTACGGTTAGTAGCTCAGCTTATTGAGAGTATATTTAGCATATTGATGATACTATGTAGTTTATACTTTAGCTTTTTACGTGGTTGTTTAGTTACTGCAGCTACATACTATTAACATTCCTTCCCTTTATTAATGCTACCCCTACCCCCTCCCTTTGATGCTGCTAATCCTGCATAATGCATGGGCATAATATGACTTTGAAAACCCCCTGCCCACCTCCTACGCATTTCACAAGTAGCACTAGTCGCATTCCTGCATTTCCCATAAATATGTTAAATTCCTCTTCATATGCAAATTGTTTTGTCAAGGCGCTCTTCCTCCTCCCTCCCAGCTTAAATAGACGCTCCAAGCCTAGGATGTGTCATTCAGACTCTGTCTTATCGACAGACATGTTCTTCACCTGAGGACGGCTGCTTGCGTTGTGACCGAAACGTCGTGATAATTATTTTATTATGTTTAATTTTTTATTAATGTATTACTTCCCTTCTACGTGACTTTACCGAAAGAACCAAGAAGATGAATCCCTGCAGTCACGAAAGCTTTAAATCGAAATTTAGTGGTAAGGATGTTGAAGCTGGGAACGCACTGAGGGAGCTTCTTGGGGGCCTTCCTAAAGGTGAAATCATTTTAATGGGTGATCTCAATTGGAATTGGCTAAACCCGCCGGCCGTGGCCACACATTTTGCAGATGAATTTAACCTATTTCAATTAATAAATGTCTCCACAAGACTCAACCTAAAAAACCCGGGACAGTCATCGCTGCTTGACGTCCTATTAACAAATGCCCCTCACAATTTCGCGCTGACTGGTGTTCTGGGTAATAACCTTAGCGATCACTCCTTCATAATTGGGGTGAGATCATCAGTCAGACAGAAAGCCCCCCCTAAATTGGTTGAGAAGCACTCCATGAGACACTTCAGCATTCAGGCATTTATTAATGATGTGCTTCACTCGGATATTGACAAGGTCTGTGATATCCCCAACCTGACTACGGCTTGGGAGACCTTCAGGTACACGTTTCTCCAAATTCTTAACAAGGATGCTTCGTTGGTTAGATTTAAAACTAAAGGCAACCGCCCACCATGGTTTGATCCCTTGATTACTAAGCTCATGAAAACTAGGGACAAGTCTTGGGCATGTGCTCAGAAAAGTAATTTGGTCCATGACTGGCTAGAATACAGGATTTTAAGGAATAAATGCGTCAAAAAAATACGGCATGCAAAAAATGCATACTTTTCCTCCACTCTCCTGG